TCTTTCAAGTTTTAGTGTGATAATTGCCGTAGCTGTTAGGAATAACGATGGACGAGTTGAGATTAGTTGCTAGTGTAGGTAATCATTGATGTATTTGCCTTTAACTGAGACGTGGTTTATATTCAAAAAGTAGGGGACATGCCTGCGGAATGTCATATTCAGGGTTTTAAATTGTTCCAAGAAGATAGATGTATTGGGAGGGGGGGGTGGGTGGGGTGGCATTGTATGGTCCGAGACTCGCTCTGAAACTGTTGCATAATAACGGGTTATTAAGTCTGAGTAAACATACAGAGTCTGTTTGGATAGATTTTCAGAGGGGATGAAAAACTGATTTTAAGGAGTGATATACCGTCCACTCCCTAACTTTAGATAGGGACCAAGGGAAACTACTATGGGAGGAAATTGTTTTAAGGCCCACAAGGCACGATAATGTAGTACATGTGGACCCCCGCATAAGATGCATCACATAGGATTTTTCCGATACGCTTACTTTTATCGCAAAATTTTGTGCCGCGCATACGATTAAAAACCCGCTCACCGATTTTCGTCGAGTCGCGTCCAAAGTGCCCTCCATGTGCCGCCAACAGTCCATTGTTTACAGCCAGCCTCCGCGGTATATCCAAGCATACACTCGGAATATTTCGTATATATATTACAATGTTTTCGGTGCTGTTTCTGGAAAATTAAGTGACCATGGGCCCCAAGAAAGCTTCTAGTGCCAACCCTGTCCCCTTTTCTGGTAAAAAGGGTGAGAATTAGTATGGAAATTAAGAAAGATTTGAAGGGTTTGGGCTAACCCTGAGAAGCCTATGCAGTTGTGGAATCCATTGGCTACTTCAAAGATAAGGAAATGTGTGCCACAGTGGGTTGACTGCAAACCTTTATAGATGAAAATACCTGACACAGCTTCTGTTGCAAAGCCGTGCTGGTGACTATTTCAATGACAATGTTGTGGCCAATTTTAGACAAATCGTAAAGGGTACGAGGAGGTACAGCGATCTATGGACAGATTTGTTGTGCGACAGAGGTCAGTTCGACTCTAAAGCTGGCCTAGTGCGCATTAAAGAAGAAAGACGGATGTAACCCGGAAAAGGATTGCAACCTCATGTGTAAAGGAAGCGGGATTCCCCTTCTAAAACAAGTAAGAAGATATGCTCTCCCTCCTCCCATCCCATCAATCATCACCAGATCTTCAATAAAAGTAAGTGTCATGTATGTGTGCATGCCTCTTTTTTTCAGTTTGTGTGTATTAAATTTAATATTTCATGTGTAAAAAAATTTTTTTTTTTCATACTTCTGGGTGTCTTGCACGGATTCATTTATTTCCATTATTCTTTGGGGGAAAATTCATTCACATAACGAATTATTTCGACTAACAATTACCCCTCTTGCACGGATTAAAATCGATTAACGGGGGTCCACTGTAATTCTAGGAGACTTTTAAACTTTAGTCATGTTGTTTGAATTTCTTGACTGGGAATTTAGAATCGTACGACTTCTTAGAAATATTTCAGGATTGTTTTTGAAGCAGTTGTGACAGACCTAATAGGGGAATAACATGCTTGACTTAGTTATGGAAGCAATGAATCCTTGTTAATAATTTAGAAAATTTAGAGGATAAATGGTGGTTGCTAGCGACCACAAATCAATTACATTTAGCATTGACATTGAATGGAAGTACGATAGATAGCGATAACTCAGTAACGTCCAGATTTTCGCCTTTGCGTATTACGTGGGCTTAGAGTACATTTATCATCTGTTGTACTGGAGGTAACGAGAGAGCTATCAATTTGACGTTTTTTCTGAACACTATTTCATGCTGCTCAAAGAGCGTTTTATCCCTATAAGAAAATTAGATCAAATAGAAATGACCCAAAATGGATGAATAATAGGCTAAAATATCTACTAGGGCATAAGAAGGAATTATAGGCGTATCAAAGTGGTTGGAGGGTTCTATCTTATGAATCAGTATTTGACATTAAGAGGGTCAATTAAAAAGGGGATAAGAAAAAGTAAAAGGGACTATGAAATTAAAGTTGTAGGGATTCTAAAAAACTAACAAAAAGTTTTTTTCAGGTTATAGATCAAAAGTTAGAGATAAGATAGGTCCCCTTAAAAATAATATGGGCACTTACGACATTGAGTAGAAATGTGCTTGATTTTAAATAATTATTTTTTTTCTCTAAGTTTTTACACAGGAGACACTAACAATATTTCCAGTAATTAATTTTTACAGTGGGCTAGAAGAAAATAAATTATGTAACATACACAGTCACTAGTGAGAGGGTTGTGAGGCAGAGATAGACAGGATGAAGCAAAATAAGTCGCAGTCGGGTCCTGATGAGGTTTTTTTCAAGGGTTCTTAAGGACATGCCAAAATTGGAACTCTGTGAACCATTAACGAATATTTTATATTTATCTCTTCTCAAACAGGTGTTGTAGTGTCTGATTGTGGAAGAGGGCTAATGTAACTCCTATTTTTTTTAAAACAGGGGACATGTAGTTACGTCAAATTACCGCACATAAGCCTGACCTCAATTGTAAGGCAAATTCTAGAGTCAATTTATAGCTGAGATTATAAGAAGCCATCTCGATAAGCATATCTTGATTAATGATACTCAGCATGGTTCACAAGAGGCCGGGTCTTGTCTAACTAATTTAGTACTTTCTTCAGTAAGCTTTTGAGGCAGTAGACCACAATAAAGATTTGTATTAATTTACTTTGATTTTAGTTAGGCTTTTTTGATAGAGTTCCGCACCATATGACTGTTAAAGAAAGTGGCAGGGCTCATGCTTTGGGGGAAAAGTGCTCTCGTGGATATCGAGTCATGGCTCACTGTCAGGATGCAGAGAGGGTCCATAAATATGGTTAACATCCGCAGTGGGGATCTGTAACAAAGTGGCGTTCCACAGGGATCAGTCTTGGGGCCGTTGTTGTTTTTAATTATATCAATGATCTTGATTTAGGGAATTACTGGGATATGAGCAAATTGCGATGACACAAAGTTGGTAGGCATAAATTGTCGATTCAAAGTAGATGTTAGGAACTTCAGGAGGATTTAAACAAACTCTATTCTTGGTCAGAAAAAGTGGCTAGATGGCAGTTCATGTAGATAAATGGCAAGGTTCTGAAGCTTGGAGAGTGCCCTTTAACCCTTTAGTATTAATAAATTTAATGATGTAGACTTTAGCCCATACAGATTGCGAAAAGGACTTGGGGGGTTATGGTGTGCAGCAACCTTAAAACCAAGACAGCAATGCTTAGAGGACGTAATAAGGCAAATAGTTTACTGGGATTTATATCAGAGGTAAGCAACAGAAGTCCACGAGTTAATAACTGCAGCTTTATAAACATCATTAGTAAGGCCTCACCTTGATATGCAGCTCATTTCTGGTTCCGCTATTACAATATGGACATAAATTTGTTTAGAAAAACTTCATCGTAGGATGACTAAATTATACATAGCATTCGAATTCTTCCTTATGAAGATAGATTGAAGACTCTTAAGTTACATCGCACTTGTTTTAGAAGAAGAATGAGGGGAGACTGAAACGAGTGTATAAGTGGAAGATAGGTTATTAATAAAAGGGGATATTAATAAGGTCTTCAGGATGTCTCCTCTCCAAGATGAGAACGCAATAATGGATTTAAATTAGTTAAGTTTAGATTTAGAAAGGACATAGGAATGTCTTGGTTTGGAATTAGGGTTGCTTATTGTGAGTGGAACAGTCTAATCCTAGTTGGTGTTTTTGAGGCATGGGACTTTGGGTCGTTTAAATCTAGGTTGGATAAGTACATGAGTGGAGGGGTTGGATTTGTAGTGGGACTTTCACCATCAGAGGTTATTTATTGGGTGGGCACTGAAAATTGGGTTGGGCAAATGTTTTGTTAGTGGGCAATTGAATTTGTAAAGGACCTGCCTGTATGGCTGCAGGCCATCCTGAGTGTTCCTCTCTTCTTATGTTCTTTGTATCTTATGATAAAATCAAAGAAAACTCAGTTGAGTGTGTTATAAAATTAAACATGACATGTATGTGTAGTGTAGTGTGACGTAAGTGTAAGTAGAAGTAGCAGACATTACCTGTTTCTTGCTCATGTTTTTTGAGGACAGACAAAAGACACCAGCAATCTCTTACATCATGTTAAAAGAATTACAGGCTTTCGTTTTACAGTCACTTAGCAGGACGGTAGTACCTCCCTGGGTGGTTGCTGTCTACCAATCTACTACATGTTCTTGTTCTTGTTTATTTCCCTAAATCTCCATGGAGAAGTGAAATAGAATTCTTCCTCCATAAGCCAATGTGTCGTGTATATAGAGGCGACTAAAATGCCAGGAGGAAGGGGCTGGTAACCCCTTTTCCTGTATACATTACGAAAGTTAAAAAGAGAAACTTTTGTATTTTCTTTTTGAGCCACCCTGCTTTGGTGGGATATAGCTGGTTTGTTGAAAGATGATTTTTAAATTGGTACTTTTTTAATTTTGTGTGAAACTGGCCAAATTACTTAAGTCTGATCTCTTTGTAGGGTAGCTGAAATAGATGAACGAATGGAAGGCATACCAACATAATCGTTAAGAATTTGTAAAAAAAAAAAAGGAATACTCACCCCTAATGTCAAAATCGGCATCATGGCAGGTGAAGGGCATCAAAAGTTGTTTTCTATAATGTCTTGAAAACCAATAGACTGCCAGCTACTTCTTTCGATATTTTGAAAATTGTAAGTCAGCACACACTTTTTAGTAATGTTGACATAACTGCAATATACTATATAATAAAAGACAATTTTTTTCCATATCACTATCAATAAAATATCATAGAATAATTTATTAATATGTACATCACAAATACAGCAACATTTTCTGTTCATTGTATAAAGTTAGAAAAAATATAATTTCCAACTGTGGAGCCAAATAGTTAATATAATATAAAGGAGAAGCCTTAATATAAAAAAAAAAAACATCGTTTTCACTAATGAGTAACAAAATTACTTTTGTATTTACCAAGGAAAAGTGTTGAAGACATTTACTTGGATGAAGTTTGTGACTGGCATTTTGTCTTGATGCTACTTCATTCCACAACTCATCACTACTGAGTACCCTCTCCAGCTCTGCACTATCATGACAGAGAAGCCGATATTCTTTAACAGTATTTAGCATTGTTAGGAGATTTTCTTCATTCCAGTAAGCCTTACCATATGCTGAAAATTAAGATCATTAGTAAATTGCATTTTGTGCTACATGATAAAATTAAACAGCTGCTAAACCACTATGACAGAATTATGGAGGCACTGGAGGATGACCAAAATGTGTATGTGATTTACACAGATTTTCAAAGGCATTTAAGAAATGCGATCCTGAAGTCAAAGAGCACAAAATGAAGGCCAAGGCATTATGGAGAAGGTGGGCAGATGAATTTTTGGAAATATAACACACAGAAAGTAGTAGAAAACAGAGCAAAGTCCAGCATCAGCTAGGTAAAAAGCTCAGTGCCCCAAGGCACTGTCTTGGCACCTCTGCTGTTTCTCATCCTCATAGCAGACATAGATAAAAAACAACAATCACAATTTTTGCTCATCATTTGGCAGATGACCACTAAAATAAGATGAAAGTCTCTTTGGTAGAAGACACTGAAAAATTATAGGACGACATATGCAGAAGAGTTTCCAGTGGGCGTGGAGAAGTGGAGAACAATATGATGTTCAATGTGATAAGTTCCAGCTGCTTAGGTATGGAAAGATGAAGAACTCAAATAGGAACACAGTTATACATAACTCATGAGGGGTCACCAAATACAACGAAAGGAACATGTAAAAGATTTGGGAAAATTATGTCAGCTAACCTTATTTTAAAAGAACATAATAAGACAAAGAAATATCTAAGCTAGAACAAATACAGAGATCATTTAAGGCACACAATGAGCCTGTAAAGCACTTAAATTACTAGAGAAACAGCGCCTTTGGAAGCCTTGAAATATGTCACTCAACATGGAGCGTATTCGGGAGATACGACGGGTTAATATCACCCCTTATGACCATCGAACAGTTCAATGTGCGAAGCGCCTAGCATATGCGGGATCACGACCTCCAAATGTTGAAAAATCACAAATGTTTGGTACACAAATATATTGTAGGGAAATATAATAATATCATTTACTTAGCCTAACAATACTGCTTCCATAACCCTTTGACTGTTTACGTCATGTATATACATCTTACTCGCCACTGTTTCTGACGTATTTAAACGAGTAAATTCTAGCGGTCTCAAATCAAGCAGGAGAAAGCTGGTAGGCCCACATGTGAGAGAATGGGTCTGTGTGGTCAGTGTGCACCACATAAAAAAATCCAAGAGCATGCAGTGCATAATGAGAAAAAAACTCCGTTTGTTTTTTTGGATTAAAACGCCGAATTCGAGGTGTATTTTCATACAGTATTTATCACTGTATTCTCGTTTCATGGTCTCAGGTGATAAAATGTAAAACATATTACAGAAACAAAGGTGATTTTCATTACTTTCATGATGAAAACGACCTTGAAGTAGCGGAAATGTTCGATTTTTACCAATGTTCAAGAGTATGGGGTATGGTTCAAGAGTAAGCAAATCACACCACACATCCAATACACATCAACTGGGGAGTCTAATATTCTTTCACTAGTGCACTGATATTATTTATACCATTTTTACAATAATGCAGTAGTCTACATAACAGTAAATTTTGTATTTTTTTTGTATGAATAAAAAATCAAAATAGAAAGCAATAGTAATATAAGAGGGGCCTAGAGACATGACTAATGAACAGTAGATATGTTATTTTAGTGCCAAATATGTCTACATTGTTATTCTGGACCCTAGTTTGGAAATTGGCTTCTTTTTTAATTTGGTGTGAAATTGGACAAATTGCAATTTCTGACCACTTTATTGGGTAATTCAAATCGGTAAATGGGCGGTTTCTTGTACTCATCTGATAGAAAAAGTGGAGTTTAAAGAATTAGCTATGAGTTTGGTCAACTGGAACAACAGAATTGGCCAAAAACAGGGCTCTAAGTCGGCAAAATTGCTGATGCGCATATGTCGCCAGAGAATGTAATTCACGGGAGTGTTATTTCTCGTGAGTTTCTGACATATTTCGTACTTTTTGGTGTCATTACTATTTGGGAAAAGTTTCTCTTTCATTTCAATATGAAAAAAATTAATTTTTTTTTCCCCAAAACTTTTGTGACATAGAATGACAGTTTCAGAAAGGGGCTTACAACAGTCAAAGGGTTAACCTATTGAACCATAAACATTCATAAAACACATGACAAACATCGTATAAAATTTGTACTAGTGCCAGCCAATGGTTTAAAGAAGGTGAGAAAATATGAATTCAACAAAGAACTTGTTAGCACAGTACCAAGGTGGAGGAGGAAGAGAGAGGGGAGAATATGCCTTCTTTAGTGATTCTACGATATGTACGATACTAAAGCAGCACAAGTCGACAAAGGCTATAGCACCAGCCAGTGATAAAGTGTAGCACTTCTAGGATGGCCTAAAATTGCCAATCAAAAACTGCACTAACGCACATAGAACCCAGACATGACCAAGATAAAACTGACGTGATACCTTAAACGAGAAAAAAACTACGTCTGAAGCGAAGACGGCCCTCAAACTCTCAAGCACAGGCCCCAGCTGCGATGACTACCTACTCCTAAGCTCTTTAACTACTTCAGTTCTTCACCTAAACCACTAGCAACTCCTGTACTACTATGAGACCAACTCATAGAAGAAACCACTAAGAACAGCAAGGCAGCACCTAGAAACCGACTATTCCATAAGACGACCCAGCAGGACACCGGTGCTCCATCCACCCCCTCACCACCCAGAGCAATGCATCACCAACAACAAACATGGTCGACTCCCCCTCACTCACCAACCAAGGCGACTTGACTGCAACAACACCAACCGTGACTGACTCCCTCTCTACATCTACTACCTTCATAGGATTTATTTATTTATTTATTTATTTATTTAATAATTTGAACATACATACAGAGGTACAAAAAAATACAGGTAAGAGCAGCATGCCAAAGCCACTTGTATGCATAGCATTACGGGCAGGCTTAAAATTAACTTAAGATTAACTAAGCAATGATGTAATCAGTGATAAAACATTACTGTAAACAGATAACAATAAAGCACAAATGAGTATTACAAAGACAGGTCATATGGTTTGAATTGCATCCTGTCATTCAGTATAGAATGGAGTATTCTGTTAGGTGTTGTCTTTACAAATAACAAAGTTAGATTGGGTCTTAGGTTTATTTCATTTATGTGTTTTAATTAGAGAAACATTTAAGATATTCAATTTATAAGTCAGTTATTCAGTTATTTATTTGCTTTTGGGGTGAGTAAGTGATCTTTGAGAAGGGGATTGAATTTGAACATTAAAATGGTATAAAAATACCGAAGGTTGTTAGGTAAGACACATATGCAACAGTTAAGGTTTCTTTTAGGGTGATGGACATGATTACAGCGTCTTCAAGTCTCTTCTGCTTCTATACAACTTTTCTGTACTCGACTGAGAAGCCTACTGTGTTAGGCGAAAACGTTTCGAAATAAAGATCTAACTGTTGTTATGGTGTCTTACCTACAGACTTGAATTTATAAACAGGTGTGTTTCTTTTATATTTACAGGTAAATGAATTCCAGATTTTACTGGTCTTTTATGTGCATTGGAGTTTTTGCATAGTGTGAGATGGACACGAGGAAACATCAGAGAGTTGATCTGTGCCTAGTGTTATGGTCATGTGATTATGTTGAGGTTGGTAAGGAGATGTTTGAGGGGGGTTAATATCAGAGTTAAGTGTTCTATGTACGTAATAGTGATGCAGTAGTAGTATGGATGTTTTGTATGGTGAGTAGGTTTAGAATTTGAATATTGGGTTGGGTGTGCTGCCTGTAGTGGGAAATTTGTTTCATTCTGACTGCCTCCAACGAGCCATGGAAAAGTCACCGAGAGATTATAAAGTCACTTAAAAAATAAGTCAGGGAATCTGTCCTCATGTCCACCATTATTGTACAAGAGAGTGGCCCATGTCCTCTCGAATTACTATCTCAAGCTTAATTTTAATACTAGTCACTAGAAGCTAGCCCTTCCCGAAAACTACTCAAGATGGCAAGGGTTTCACCAATACATAAAGAGTGGTGACCCTACGATTTAAACAACTATAGGCCAATATCAACTTACCTTTGCTATCAAAAATCTTGAGAAAACTCGTGCACAGCGAGACTATATTCATTTATACGTCACAAAAATATCAACCCTGCCAATTTGGGATTCAGGAAAAATAAAAGCACTAACGATGAATTATAAAAAATGCTAGATCTGCTTTACCGCATTCGGAAAATAAGGAGTATCACTAGGAATTTTTTATTGACTAAGAAAGCTTTTGACACAGTAGTATATCACAGATCCTCTCAACAAACTTGCCTTTATGGTATTAAGAGGCCATGCGCTTGCATATTTCAAATCTTACCTTACTAATAGGTATCAGTATGTCACCATTAAAGACACAGCATCAACAACACAGCCACTTGATACTGGAGTTCCGCAGGGTAGTGTCCTTGGTCCCCTGCTCTTCCTCATATACATCAATGATCTTCCAAACGTATCTCGACACCTGAACCCCATTCTCTTTGCTGACGACACGACTTATGTCATCTCTCACCCTTATCTTGCAACCCTCAACACCATTGTTAATGAGGAGCTGATCAAAATATCGACTTGGATGACAGCCAATAAACTTACGCTTAACGTTGGCAAAACCTACTACATTATGTTTGGTAGCAGAGCAGGAGATGCGCAAATTAACATTAAGTTCGACAACACTCTAATTACCAGGCATAATGAGGGCAAATTCTTAGGCCTATACCTCGACAACAACCTGAACTTCAGCACCCATATCCAACACAACCAAAAAAGTATCCAAAACGGTTGGGATCCTCTCCAAGATACGATACTACGTGCCGCAAACTGCCCTTCTCACACTATACCATTCCTTATATATCCATACCTCACCTATGCTATCTGTGCTTGGGGTTCAACTGCAGCAACACACCTAAAACCAATAATAACCCAACAAAAAGCCATAGTAAGAATAATCACTAAATCCCATCCCTGGCAACACCCCCCCCCCCCACTCTTCATAGATCTAAACTTACT